ATTTCTTTTAAAAGAAATGTAAACACAACTTTACAGTAACTCATTTAAGTTGAGCAGAGCTAGTTAACCAAAATTGTTTAAGTAAACTAACACATCTGTTTTTTTTGAGTGTTCATGAAAATATATAATTTGATCATTTCATTTTTACATGATTTCCAGAGAAAGAAGACAACATATCAAAATCAAGATATGACAGTTTGAACCAACAACCAAATGATGTTGTATGTAATAATAACAGATTTCTTAATTTTGTTAAAATATGTATTTTATTTTGATGCAATATTCTGTCTTTTACATGTTTTTCATTAGAATGGAGCTGAAAATGATCTGCACTACGCAGCATTACATTTATCTGAACGAAGATCAACACGAGGAAAGAAGAAAAAAGAGTTAAATATGGAGGAAAGTGTATATTCACAAGTTAAACTTTGAATACAATAGCATCTGGGATAGTTTAAAACTTCATTCTGTTGYTGTGTGAACAATTGAATGTGGTTTTGATTTTAGATTTTATAGTTGATGATTGTATAGATTGTATATTGCATAAAACTGCTTACAAAATGTTCATGTTGAACAATCAGGTTGTTCTTATTTTCAGAATTTTAACTTCTTGAAAATAAACTTAGATGATTCTACACCATACAAAAAGTCTGAAGCTTGTACAACTTTTTTCTTTTGTCTTGCTTTTTTAATATAAACTCATTTAAACGTGTCAATACGTGTATGTGTACACTTTTAAAAATGGAAAATGTCAAATTGCTTTATGAAATGCATAACCAGCTTATAATGGTAAATGGTCTGAACGTATATAGCGCATTATCAAGTCCCTCCGGACCCCAAAGCACTTTACACTTACAGACAGACATTCACCCATTCACACACTGATGATGGTAAGCTACATTGTAGCCACAGCTGCGCTGGGGCACACTGACAGACCACCAGACCCTCTGACCACCATCAGTAGGCAAGGCAGGCAAAGTGTCTTGCCCAAGGACACAAWAACTGAGACAGCTGGAATGGGTGATTGAACCGGCAACCTTCACGGTTAYGATATGACTCCCCTAACCACTCCACCACAGCCGCCCACAATAAACTGAMGGTGATGTTGTGGAGCTTTGTGAAGCACATGCATGAATATTATTAAATAAAAATGACTTTATAAAGAGCAAAAATTTTAAGCAGCGCATTTTTTTTGTCACAAACCATGGGTGTAATTGAAGGTATTGAAGGTAAAYAGGTAAATACGTACTCTTAGAAAATTAAGAAATATAGGTATGTTGTAAAAATGTAAAATATATCTGTWAATGTTGGGAAAAATGTGGTGGGAAAGTAAGGCTTTCCTAACCTTTTCTGTTGAACCGACATGAAACAGAAAAGTTGCAGARGAAATACAAAGAAAACAGGAAAGTTCAGTAAATCACAGTAAAAGCCTCACAATGAATTKTAACCCCCCAAAAATATCCTGAATCATTTTACAAAATTAAACAATTCAACATAGAAATAGACAGAGGGCATGACCCCCTCCCAATGGTAGACTTAAAGTAACACCCTTGTCACAAACGTTTTATTTAACGGCTTTGATTGTGCTAAAAATGGATCCAGCACTCTTCAACATCTTAAGTTTCACAGAAATGCATCGATGGTTCACAAGTAGACTACTGTGCAGTACTCTTTTTTTTCATACAGGAAAGACAGCAGTGTTCATGATAAATGAGTCTTGAGGCATCTGTGACTCTCTTAACATAAATTACTTGATTTTGTTACAGGTAGACAAGTTTAAATGAGTGTGGGCATATGATGCCAGTAATGGGTATGAAGCATAATCAGTTTGAATTAATTCCATTTAATTGTATTTATATATTACCAATACACCACAGAAAAGTTATAGACAAGTTATAAAAGTCCAAACCAGAAATCCAAYTCAGTTACAAACATTTGATTCACTCTAATTATAATACGGTCAAAATCAATTTGGTACAAAATGTCAATTAATATAAGGTTGTCTAAAAAAATAACCATCAATTTTTCAAAACTTCAACTTGGGACAATCTTCATTTTGAGTAATTACAAAAGTGACAGTAAAAAGGAACAACTCTATCTTAACAAAGAAACCAACCTGAASCAGACTCAGAAGAAATAACAAACGACTCGACTCGCTGGAGTGTCGGAAAAAAAGAGAAAAGACAAAAAAAGAAGGACAGAGTAGTTTGTATGGAAAAATGGGTTAATGCAAAAAGTAAGCAAACAAAAAAAAAAGTATTTTATTACTGTTATAATACCAAAATGAGAATATTCCAGCCTTATGGCCCAAGACCAGCTGTGCTGACTGACTCCTCCTGGTGGACCTCCTCCACATCCTGGTTGGATCCAAGGGTGAAAATCCCATCTCAACATTGGGAGGGTTAYCAAACAGGGACATTTTTAGGAGCAATGTTTTGGGGAGTCCACCTAAGTTACAGYCAAATGTACTGTTGTAAAATTAAATTAAGAATAACCATTAACTAGYTGATCAAGTTCTGTAGTCCAGTTTTTAAAACTAAGATGCATCAAACTAATTTCTGCAACCAAACAGCAACAATTACTCCATCTTTTTTTAACGCTTACTTTAACACCGGGGTCATGTGACTTACAATATAAGCTTATTTTCCAAAAATGTATCACCCTATAAACTATAAGAAGGGGTTTATAAAAGCATGGAAAAACAGTGCACCTGTTCCACAAAACACAACGTATACAATGTGACGCACGCTCCCACACACAGTCCTACTTTTGAGTCAGTCACCTTATGAAAAAAAAACAAAACAAAACAAAAATCTGACAAATGTTATTTAGTGGCTGCGTTTTGCAGCATTAAATAATGCCTCCTTTTCTGTCCCTGCCTCTTCTGCAGGAGGAGGAGAGGAGAGAGGCAGGCAGACCAGACAGACCCCCAAACACTTTACACTTGACCCATTCGCACATTCACACACTGATGGTGGTAAGCTACAACCACAGCTGCCCTGGGGCACGCTGACAGAGGTGGGGCTGCTATGCACCGTCACCACCGGACCCTCTGACCACCATCTGTAGGCAAGGTGAGTGTCATGTCAAATGACAGAACTGTCTAAAACTGTTTGTTTAGGTTTTTCCCTCTCTCTTATCACTGTAGATAACAT